CCCCCCCCCCCCCCCCCCCCCCCCCCCCCGATTGAGCCTGTCGGCACGTTGCTGCTTGTTAGCACGAAGCGATGATGGCGGCCTCAGCGGTGGGATGGTTGGGACTCTCGCCAGTGTTGTCGTGTCCCGGTGTGGAATGTTTCGGGGTGTCGTTTCGCAGCTTCCGTCAGGATCTCGTTTGCTGAGTGAGAGCGGCGTTCTTCGCGGGTGACGAGGGGTGGCAAGTTTTCCGTTTATCGCTGCTTTTACGAGTTATCGAGCGCAGGTTGCGGGGATGCAACGTGGGTGGTGGGAGGTCAAACCGCTGTGCACATGCTTCTTGAAGCGAAAATGAAAAATTAGAACAAGACTTGGGGTCTATTCAGCATTACTACATACTTAAAAGTATGATAGCAGTGGTGGCGATTATCCCATGCTGTACCTCTTTTGTGGAATACCGCTCGCTAGATGGCAGGAGACGAGACTGGTGTGCATACAACTAGCGATTGGGATCATTCTCCAGGCCCTTGCCACACGAAAAGAAGCTCGAGCGCACCGCCGACACGACCTGTTCGTTTGCCACGCCACGCCACCCTGCGTTACAGGTGGACCTCCAGAGCGTGCGCGACTCTGTGAAGTACTGCTGCTTCCTACTCGATGCGGAGGTGACCGACAGCGCGCTGCTCGCACTGTCGAAGGAGATCCTGTCCGATAAGGTGAGAGGAGACAGAGACACAAATAGGAAGGCAGGCAGTCCGACAAGGACAGGCAGGCAGGCATGCAGGCAGGCAGGCAGATTCAGACAGAGGTGACTGGCGTTCGGTACAGGCGATCCCTCCTTCCTTTTTTAAGGTTGTTCGTCGAGTAGGGGGGGCGTGATGCGTTGTTCTCGAGCAATGCGTGTCTTCTGGTCAAACTCCCGACACCAGCGTGCGCCCCATTTTTCTTTTTTTTCTTTTCTGAATGTGACCCAGCGATTCCATCCCTATCCCTAGAAAAGAGCTTAAGATAGAATAGCAATGGATCCATATCGAGCGGAGCTACCTGTATTTTCGCGATTTCCCGAGCAGCACACAACAAAGTTTCCCCGGTGGATTTTCCTGTTTTTTTTTTTATATATATACTGTCGTGGGAAGTATCCTCCCTTTGAACGAAGCGTACACAGAGCTGTATCTCCCTTTTACGCCATTTTTGTTTCCGAACTATTTTTTCCACTAGTGGTTCGTTCGTTCACCCACTCGAATTCCTTACGTTGGTTTATATTTCGTGCCGAAACGTCAAATTCTTTTCCCCAGGGCTCGTTGCCGGTGGGCGAGATCGGCAAGCTCCTGCAGGAAGCCACGGCCAACGCCTCCCTCAGCCAGACCCTCAAGGACCAGTTTGGGGGCCTCAAGAAGTTCCTCGAGAAGGTATGTACAGGACAGGACAGGACAGGACAGGACAGTAGGCTCAACGAACGAACGACAACAGTCAGGATCACCACTAACTGAGGCTGGTATGTTTGTCGCGCGGTGTATTCCTAGAGTAAATAGTGATTTCTTGTTTAGGCAAAGCTTAGATAGCGTATTTTTGGAAGTTGGTTTCGCACGTGGTTTTAGAGTAACCCCCCTCCACTCGAGGCCCATTGTAGATGCAAGGTATGTTTAGCGTTGTAATATTCTGGTGTGTAGAGAGTGATCACCATGGAGAGCATCGTTTTGCTGTCCTGTAGTACAGCATACCAAGCAACGCGGCGCGGGGGGTCCAAATCGTACCTGAGTATTGTCGCTCGCATCGCGCTCCATGGCCTTCGCACGCATTGGTCAGATGTCCTCCCGGCCACCCACCCCACCCCCTGCCCACCCTCTCCCACGCGGCCCGCGCGCGCGCGACATTTTTTCGCAGTACCCTGGCGAGTTCGTGATAGCTGCGGACCACCCGTTCAACCCGCACGTGTACCTCAAGTCCGCGCTGACCGCCGAGGAGTTGGACATCGTCATGCGCGGGGGCACAGTTGTTCAGGTCGGTTCCGGCGGGGGGTCGGGGGCCGGCGGCGGCGGCGGTGGCGGGGGTGTGAAGAAGCACAAGAGCAAGTCCGGCAGGCGCCGTTCTGCGGCGAACAAGCAGGGCGGTCAGCAACAGCAGCAGCTGCAGCAGCAGCAGCAGCTGCAGCATGTCCAGCAGCAGCAGCAGCAGATGAGGGAGGAGCAGCAGCACCAGATAAGAGCGATGGTGAGTGTGGGCGATTTGTGTCATAGGTAGAAAGATCAGCTCACCCAAAGATGTGGTCATGGCCGTCTCACGATTATGTGCGTGACAGGCCTGGCCTGCCGTGCGGCGGAATTTTGTTTCGGCGCCGTTCTCTGACACGGGCGTCTGAGCCACGTGAGCGTGTTGGAGGAAATGGTAGCTCTTACACGAGTGGCGAAGGAAGGTTAAGGTTGTTGTTTGCGGATGGCCACCACGCCCAGTGGTTTGGGCTCTTCCTTAGGGCCAACGAACCGACATTTATGACATCCCTCTCGAAAGTTGAGACTCCTTTTGAAGCCATTATGATCCATGTACCCTCGTGTGGTTGCAATGACACGACTGGCCTGTCATGTTGATGGATACCTTGTGTTGATAACCCGAGAGTTGCACGGAGCGAACCCCGCCCCCACCATTCAACCCCCCCCCCCCGCGCGCACGCGTTTGTCTACCAGAACGACTCCATGTATCGCCAGCAGCAACAGCAGCACGAGACGATGCACGGCATCATCCCCGACGGACGGCACGAGAGCAGCAACGGCAACCCGCCCATGCTCTCCCACCGGGAGCGGCAGCTGCAGCTGCAGCAGCAGCAACAGCAGCAGCAGCAGGGCATGCTCCGTCAGGGGATTGGGAGGGGCGGCGGTGGCGGCCGCGGTGGCGGCCGCGGTATGGCCCTCACTCAACAGCAGCAGCAGCAGCAACTCCAGCCCTCTCAGCTCCCGCAGCACGGCAGATCCGGCTTGACCTCGTTGGCGCCGCCTCCCAGGATTCCCTCCCGGCCGCACTCCATGCAACAGCAGCAGCAGCAGCAGCAGAGGCAGCACCTCTCGCCTCCCCCCGGCCAGCGGGAGCAAGACGGCCGGCGACACCTCCAGCAGCAGCACCAGCACGAGGATACCCTCTCGGCGCTGTACCTCCACCAGCCGCCTGACAGTCTCACGGCGCCAACCGTAGACATGTTCCGTGGCGACGGCGTAGGCGGGGGGGGTACGCGGAGGAGAGGCACGATGGAACCAGGGGGTGGGAACCTCGGCCCCCTCGGGGCGGTGGGCGCTGGTGGAAGTGGGCAGGACTATGAGCCGAGAGTATCGCGGCTTAACTCGGATCACGACCGGCAACTCCAGCAGCAGATGTCGGGGCTTGGGGGCGCCCTGGCTCAGCAGCGGCAGCGGGACCGGCAGCAGCAGCCGCGTGGTGGCGGTGTGGTAGTCGGAGGAGGGGGAGGAGATCTGAACGCCATGTGGGACGACCTCCAGGCGGAGCGCGCGCTTCCCCAGGCCAAGAAGCTCCAGGACCAGCAACAGATGAGCGGCGCCGTTCTGCGTAACGATCCGCGGCTCGATCAACGGCTGGACCCCTGGGGGGACCAAGGCAGCAATAACAACGGCAACAACAACCACCCCCGCCACGACCAGCAGCTCCAGGGCAGTGGCGCCCTGTCGGGGCTAGGGATCGATCCTCAGCGGCTCGGTGGCTTTGGCGGGGGCCTCTCGGAAGCCGCCCCGTCTCCCCCCCGCGGGCTCCTGTTCAAGACCCTCCAGTCACAGCAGCAGCCACCGCCACAGCCGAAGCCGCAGCAGGGCGTCTCGCGGTTCGGTTCCTCCGGGTTGGACGGCTTCCTTGGCGGCGTGCCGCCCCCGAGGGACGACTCCATGTTCTATGACTAACCCGCCCCCTGGTTGGACTCATGAGAATGACAGTTGCAGAGGGAGGTGCGCTTGTTCAGGTGCCGGGGTATTCAACTTGTTGTAGCGTCGGGATTGGAGAAGGTGAGGGTTAGCGGGGAGCCGGGGAGAGCAGCGCTCGAGCGAGACGCCGAACGCGTTGATGGACGTTGAGGCCAATTTCCGTGTTCGCCGCCGGAGACGTGTGGCGTTATTCTGTACGCCCAGGCCCCTTGCCTGATCCTCCTCGCTCATTTTTTGTTTTTTTCTGTTCTTGTTCTTGTGGAAAATTTAGTGATGCTAAAAAAATGGTGAGAGGTAAAATGGGGGTGACGTGAGACGTGATAAAGAAAAGAAGTACGATAGTCAAGTGAGAAAAGCATCGCATGCCACTAGAGAAGGGAGGGGTGGGATGTGGGGTACGGACGCCTAATGCGTCGCGAGAGGTATAACGATGTACTGACTGGATGTCTCGGTAGACTTGAAACACTATGCGCAGGGGTCGGGGGGTGGTGGTTTCTGATTTGCTGCCGGGCTTGGAGCTTGCCAACAGTAGAGTTAGACGGGAGACGAACACCATTGCAGGAGTACAGGAGGGCTTCGAGCTAGACACGCCTGCGGAGTATGTAGCGATGCCGCCTTTGATCGAGACCTGGACTTGTGGTTGTGTTGCGCATCTTTTGACAGGCGAAAGGTGCTTGGGGATCCCAGTCCAGGCAGGGAAATGATCGGGGTTGTAAGGTATTGAGCTGTTGCACGGTTTTTGGCGGAGGTACAAGATCGGGAAAAAATTTCGCACTCCAGGCTCTGTGTGGGCGGGGTCTGGGGGAGAATTTCTTGAGCACTGTATGATGGGTGATGACGCGGCGCATTTTTTGTTTTTAGTGAGGACTACATAGTGGTACACGTGTGTTTTGTGTTTTTTTTGCCAGGAGGGAGGAGGGGGGGGGGGGGGGCGGCGGCCGCATTCAGCGTGCCTTGAGCATTTTTGCCGACACACCACGCACTCCCTGCGCGGAGGTCGGAATATTTTGTCAGTGGAAGTTAGATGCTTCGTAGTAAACGTTGAAGGAGGGAGGGGGGTGGGGTGTAGGCTTGCCAATGACTCCCTCGCGTCTGTGGCACGTGGAGCTAACATACTGTTTTTTGCGTGGACATCACCGGGGTTTCCACTGGACAACAGTTTTCTCGTTTTGTGTACAATTGCGCAACCTGCGTTGTTGACGGTGCAGGGAGGAAGAGGAAGGAGCGGCCTCTCTGCTCTTCTGTATTTCGTGCGGCCGTCGCAAAAAACGGTACACACACAACGCGTGGGTGTAAAACGCGTGTGTTTTTTTTCGTTAAGAGTCGGGTTTTGTTTGCCGAGGTTACGGTGTGGTGTTTTTCTCTTTCCGTTTGGGGGGCACGTTTCTATCA